AGAGATGAGAAAAAATAAAATTATAAATTAGACGTTCAAACACTTTAGAAACAACAGAAAGAAGCGAAATAGGGCGATAGTTAGAAATATCGGCAAGAGCGCCTTTCTTATGAATAGGTACAATGAATGCAGTTTTCTATAAAGTTGGAAAATTGCTAGTAGAAAGACACAGATGAAAACTAAAATGAAGGTGAGGTGAGAGAATGTCAGCACAAGAAGAGAGGAAGGAAGAGGGGATCCCATCAGTACCAACCGTAGACTTTTTATCCAATTTCTGAAGTAAGCGCTCAACATCTCGTATGGAAAAGTCGAGGTATTTATCCATCGTTGGCAAGTCTGGAGTGGCAGAGGAAGGAATTTGCCCCTGAAGAGAAGAATAACAAGAGAAAAAATGAGAATTGAAAAGTTCAGCTTTATCCGCATCTGTAGAAACAGATTTGGAGCCTAGAAACAAAGACTGAAGTAAAGTGGAGTGAGAAGAGGATAGTTTCTTGATAGAGCTCCAAAACTTGCTAGGATCAGAAAATAAAGAAGAGAGAGATCGAAAGTAAGAAGGTTTTTCACGACGATAGAGAGAAAGAACAAGATTTCTTGCTTTACGGAACTCAGCAAGGTTAAGAGAAGTGTAACGACGTTTAAGTTTACGAAAACGCTGATTACGGATAGAGATAAGATGTGCAAGCTTTGAAGAAGGCGAGAGAAGAGAAGATAGAGTACGAACTGGCACCAGTGGAACGAATCTACGGATGGCATCGTTTACGTGCTCAATCCAAATGTGGACGGCCGTATCAACATCGGTAGCCGTATAAAGGCCATGAGGTATAAGAGAGAGAAAACGCCGTAGTTCAGGCCACTGTGCTTTTTTAAAGCCATAACGATAAGTAGTAGAAGGAAAAGAAGATTGAACAGGTACATGAAAAGTAGCAGATAAACAAAAATGAGGAGAACAGCCAACAGGGGAAAAAGAGAAGAAAGAAACATTGTTCCAAGAAGAAGGATAAAAGATATAGTCGATACACGTATTTGAAGTAGTAGTGACAGAAAAATCAACAAGAGAACACAGAAAAGGACTAGAGAGACTCTGAACATTGTACATTTCGGAAGACACATGGAAGTTAAGATTAAGATCAGCACTCAACAGAAGGTTAGAAGAGACAGACGAATAGTTAGAAACAAAAGTGTTAAGAACATCGAGCAAGAAATCAACAGGAACACATTGCGAACGGTAACAGTTGCATAAAAGAAAGTCAGCAGGAGACTGTACATGTAATATAAAAGCTTCAATAACATCAGAAGGAGCGAGTGTAGAAAATTGTATAGTAGAGGAAATATACGTTGCGAGACCTCCTAGGTGTCAATTTCGATCTCGGCGAACGAGAGAATAACCAGGGAGGGTCATCTCTCCATCAGTAATTGTCGCGTCGAGATTCGTTTCTTGAAATGATAGAATGTCAAAATCGCTAAAAGAAAAGAAAGTTTTGTCCCTAAAAAATGAGACCAAAGTTCTTAACAAGACTTTGGATATTGTGAGAATAAATATTCAGTTTGTGGGCTAATGTATTGTCGTTTCGTTTGGCTTGAGTCACATTACATCAATAACGGTTAGACAAGCGATGGTAACGTCTTGTTTTTTGTTGTTTTTGTTGTGTATTATTGAGAATATTATTATTGGTACTATTATTATTGTTATTAATATTGTCACGTCTGACGTTACTATTTTGATTCAGCCGATTATTGTCCTTGTTAACAACAGATGATGTAGTTGATTGCTGTTGTTCTTCTTGCGACCTATCCCGTTGTTGTCGAGCCTCAAAGGCTTGCAAAGATTGTTTTTTTGTCAAATGCTTACGGATGTAAACAATTTTGACAAGAGCATCAGACGAGTTTTTAATGATAGGTGCCTTTGCCAGGATCGACGAACGAACAGACAAGTCATTAAACGCGATACCAAGAAGTGACGGACGATCATTATCAGTTGCTGACGAGGTTTTAAATCGCCACATCGAATCGATGGAAGACGGATCAATCTTGACACCAAGATGATTTTGAACGAAACGGAAGACAACATCTCTGTCGTTTGTGCTCTCAACGGGAGACAAATTCTTGACGATGATGTTTTTTCGTCGCTTCTCACGTTCCAAGTTTTCGTTCAATTCATCAAGGCGGTCAACAAGTTGATCATGTTTGTTGTTAAGAGTTGTTAAATGATGTTCAATCTTGTCAATTCGATCGGATAACGTTTGACGGCAACGAGGCGGAACACGATCGACGTTTTTATCGTTCAAACACTTTGAACAAAACCAGTTAGAGAACTGTTGTTGTTCAGCTAGAGTTTGATACGCCGTATATGCCATTGGTGAAACGTTAACACATCCGGGGTGGAACCAAGTGTCGCATGCATCACATTGTAGAGCGTTATCATTATCGGTGGCGATAGCCTGGCAAGAACAGAGAGTCTGTGGTTGTGATTCACTCGATTTGGGAGAGTCTTGTGTTTTGCGACGTTTATACATGCTAACGAGATGAGAAGAATTGAAGAATAAACGAGAAAAAATAAGTAAAATAAACAAAGAAAAATAAACAAATACATAAACAAAGCCAACACTATCTGAAAATACAAGAGGTTTCGCAAATGCTCGACCTCTCTCTTTATAATGTGTTTAATATAAGCGTAGAGGTAAGAAGGGTAAAGAATTAGATCATCTTTCCGAACCAAAACTAAGAAGAAAAATTTCAATGCCATCTCGAAAACGAAGAGTTCGATCTACTTCTTACCGTAAATTGAGTTATTTTGATAGTGCCAGAGAAGGTGCTAAATCAAAATCAAAGTTTAAGCCAAAACTTGTGAAAAGTCGCAAGCAAAAAGCTTCACCGTCATCATCACCATCTTCTGATAGTTCCTTTAGTGTTGATGATACAGAAAGTTCAGATAAAAGTGCAGCTTCAAAGCCAGAAAAGAAAGAGAAAAATCGAAAAAAGAAGACGCATAATCGAAAACAACTTTCTTCTTCTGATGATAGTGATGATAATCCTAATTTTGGTGGCAAGGAGATAACATCAGAATCGAGACAGAAAAGAAAATTTTCTAGTTCTTTGTCTCGATTAACTGTGACTGAGCAAGCAGCAACTTTACAGGTCACTGTGAATGACTCAATTAGTCGCTTTAGTGTAATATTGACGGTGAAGAATTCAAATTAGTCTTTAAGTTAGTATAGGAAAATCTAGGAACCTGATTACGTTTGAAGTGTCTGTTCGGAAACAGAGTCACCTCGGAAAAGTATTGTTTTTCTGCTATGTCCTAGGTTTAAAAAGAGAACATTTTTTACAGATCGATAGCTAAGACTGTCTAGATTCAGAAAATGTGAAGTTTTAAACTTAAAACGACTTCGTCTGTTAGAAAAAAATGGTTTTCGCAGAGCGCGCTATCATTTAGGCTCTTTGTTTATTATACATTTTTTCCAAAAACAACTTGAAAGAAACATTTCTACACTATTAAGTAGCCCGTATGTCAGAGTATATATGGCACTATGTGAATCTTGAAAAAGCACACTTTCAATTTTTCGCCAAATGTCCACCTGGATGCCCACTATGAGTGAGAATTGAACTATCATCTGTAATAAAACGCGGAAAAGAGAAATATTTGGATCTCTAAAAACAACTGTACAAACAATAGTTATTTTCAGGAAATGCTTAGGACAAACGTCGATTTCAGTTTTGAAACACATATGTTCTTAATCATTTCTGCGGCATGGAGTGCGATATTTCTGACCAAAATGAGATGTCTCTGAGCTCATTCAATACATAGCAACTTTTTTGTTTTAATTCGTAATTCGGTTAATTCTGATGATTTGCTGGTATGGCGCTTTTCTAAATTGAATGCTATTTCATGAAAAAGTGTCGCAGAGAGTCCGAAGGCGTCTCATTTTGTTCGGAAATGTTTGCTCTATATGACAGAGTTATGTATGAAGAATTTCTAGATCAAACTCGGGGACCTGTTTTTCTGAGACTTGGATTTTCCAGAGCTCCTGTTTTCAGGAGTTTCGATGGAATCTTCATATATACCACATCATTTTTAGATTGGAAGTTCTTTCAGCTGTACAAAGCTTTTTTCAAATTTGTTCTAGATGGTTCACAAGAAAACTGTAAAAGAAAGGAAGACGAATAATTTTTGGACCTACTGAACGAGGTCACTTATAACATCATCGCTTCCCTCCTATTTCACAGTGTGCATTTTTCTATAAAGCAGGCGGACATATGCTGTGGAAGTGAGTCTAAAGTCAATATACACGTTGCCCTATAGGTTTTCGAATATGCTCTTTCCAACGGTGAGATCTCGGAACCCAAAAATAATTTCTTGTGGGTTTTCTGGAGACCGGATCTCTGGAAAATCCATAAAAACAATTTTTGCATTTCAAAAAAATTACCTGTCCATTGGAAAGAGGATGTTCGAAAACCTATAAAAAAAGCGTTTATAGACTTTCGCACTATTGCTAAAACAGATATCCAAATTTTGACTGGGAATTTGATATAAGCTTTATTCTGTCAGAATACAAGCGGAAAATATTCCATTATAGTATTCTAAACTAAAACTATCGAAAAACACAAAATCAATTTTGTACGAATAGAGATTCGAACATGTGAACTTACGAGGGAAGTACCCCAACTGTTTAAACGCTTTTGGCCTGAAGCTTAGTGGACGATAGGTAATCAAGTGTGCTGAATCCGAATATTGCATTGGTTTGGGCCCAATTTTAGTTTAGAGACCCGGTTTTTCAACGACTCGGTTTTCAAGCTGGAAAACTTTTCGAAACAAACAATGTTTTTGATCCAGCCATATGAAAGAGCTCATCGCCAAACCTAAGCAAAACCATTTTTTAGGTTTTAGAAGAGGTTTAAGCGGGTTTTAAACGTGCAAAACTTAAAACTGCAGCGGAAAAACGAGTTTTCGTTCTTATGCGTTTTGTGCGACAAAATGACTGTTTTCTAGGTACTCGACGGTGCTGAATCCGAATATCAAAATACTGTGGACCCTTAGCGTCCCTAAAGCACCGATTTTGGCCTAGAAAATATTTTGGCTCAAAAACTTTTTCGCTATGAACACCGTTTTCGACAGTTGTAAATCAAAAAAATGAATAGAAAGACGGTTAAATGAGTAAACGCCACTGGCGATAAAATGTAGCTTCCAGAAAATGTTTCGGCTAAAAAGACTTGTTGGTTGTCGAGATACAAGTAATTCAAAATTCTTTCTAATCCTTGTCCTATACGACACTGTTTTATCCTCAAATTGTCTACCTGTCTGAATCTGTATTTCTACCTGTGTTTGGACACAAAGAATTTTCCGATCGTCAGTTGATGAGCTAGCGAGGAATCAACAGTTTTGGGTACCAGTGGGTAGGATATTCTCGAATGACAAAATTCAGTCTAACAAAGTCACGCAGGAAACGTTATTTTAACGTGAAATTTACAGTAAATACTTGTGACAGTTTCTTGAGCATTTTCTGCACAAAAGTCGTATCTCATGTCAGGGTAGAACGGAATGTTGGGATCGAAAAAACTTGAATATCTCAACCACACAACGATTCTGTTTGAAAAGGTCATTCAGAGCATATATTCCTGATACGTTCGTCGTTCTTTTGATAATACGAAAAAATGTATTCGTCATAATGAACATGTATGCGTGGGCATCCAGATGTTTATCCTCATATTATCAGGACTTATCTAGCTTTTTTGTGCAGAAAATACTCAATAAACTACCACGAGTTTCACATTAAAATAATGTTTCCTGTCTGACTTAGGCTTAACGTAGTCATTCGAGCATAATTAGGCATTGCTCGTCCCTAGCTCATCAATTGGCCATCAAAAACGCTTTTTGCAAATCAGTGGACAGATTCCTAGCCTTATGCAGACCGCTCATTTTGAGCTAAAAGTATTTTGCAAAAAGTCTTACGGCTAGTTTCGTCACGATGAAAAATACGAAATTTTAAATTTTAAAACAGTAAAATTTGATTTAAGAACCAAAAACAGAAATTCTCTATTAGATGCGGTATTGCTTGAAGTTTTGCGTTTAGTCGTTATTTTACAAATGGAACTTTAAGCTAGTACAGTAGGTTAAATTAACGTTAATTAGTTCAAATTAGTCAATAACAGGAAGGACTGATCGACTGATGTTTAGCGTCTTAATTTGGCTTTCAACTCTATAATTCAGTTTGATTGAAAATATTTCTGCAGAAAAATTAAGAAGCTAAACATCAGCCCCGTGCTCAAAAATCTCACCGCATTTTTTTAAGTACTTAATTTTTTTTTCTCAGCTAAGTAATGTAAGTACAAACCGGGAACGTTTGAGAAAAATGTAATACCCTCCCCCCTCCCTTAATATATATGCCAGTGTGCTTTTTTCCGATTTTTGCATCTTTTGGGAAAAGTTTCAGAGAACTTGCGCCTGTATTATAATGCATAGACACCGAAGATACTCCAGTGAAAATTGGAATTTTTTGTTCTTTATAACTTAGAAACCAGAGGTGCGCTCAAGCTGAAGCTTATGCCAAATGCTTTGCTGGAGTTGTAGACCATATCCTGATAGAAAAGATATCTGAAAACCGTGGGCTATCAAAGTCAAAATTAGACCTCAGATCTCATACGGCAGGGATAAACAAGTATCATATATTCGTAATCAGCATCCTCGACTGCATACAATTCGATAGATTTATGGCGAAACGGAAACCTACATTTGGTGAAATTCTTTTGTTAAATTCGGAATCAACACATGCGATAATCTCTGAGAAAAGAACATTTTGAAGCCAGAAAGCAGTTGGCAACTATGTGAGGAAGGCTTTCATTTTTTTTATCCTTTGTTTTTTCTGCAGTCAACACTTATGGCTCTATCGAACACAAAAGTCTTATAGATTCTAATCTAAGTGGTATGGTTGTGTTTAATTTCATGGATAAAATCACGGTCGGTGGTCGAATCGGTGATGTTACCGTCAACTTCTGCACTCTACCTATTATTGATCAACCAGAAATCAAACTTTATGTTCTTCAATCGAGACCCGATGATCCACGGGCATTTACCGTTATTGAATGGCTCGACAGAAATCATTATGTTGTTCCAGTAGAAAACTTAAATCGAATTCAAGATTCTTCGCCGTTCGAGAAACGTAATGGTCTGCATACAATCGCTGCGAACACAAATATACCAATATTGGCAGGTCAATATTTGGCCATTAGTTTTGGTCTCGGTGCCAGCAGTCCGTACAGTGTCGAACGAAATGAATATTCAGTGAGTGTCAAACATTTTCAAACATCATTGAAAGAGAAGAAACCGGTACTGTTTACCAATTATCCAAATAAAGGAGCAGCGTTCAGTTTTAATGTGGTACAAACAGACGGTAAGTGATTGGTTTTAGTAGGAGAATGCAACTCTGAGAACCACGACACACGCGGGCAATTCGAAAATGAATCTCAGTAGAAAGTAAGTTGGAGCTCGTTTAGAAATGGAACGGTTTTAAGAACAACTTTTTAAAAAGTGTTATGATCTTAGAAGTAAAAGCTTTCGGAATTCGCTAGTCTTCACATATGTTACAGAGCTCGACGAACTGAGTATACAAGGAAAATATGAGCTCTTGATTCCATATATTTCTGGCACTTCTGAACATCCTGCGCTTTACGCAGAATTCAGTTATGCATTTATTTTACATATATACTTCCCGCAGAAATATCCTATGAAAAAATTGCGAACGACTTTTCAATTTTGTTCGATGATGGATGATGGAATTTTGATCTTGTGTCTAGTCAAAGTACAGGAAATATCAAGCATCAAACGCTCATATTTTCCTTGTATAGTACGTTCGTCGAGCTCTACAACATATGTAAAAAGCAAGTGAATTTTGAGAGCTTTTACTCACGAGGTCATAACACTTTTTAAAAAAACTTAGTCTTAAGCTGCCCCTTAGGATATCGTCAGCAGATTTACACAAAGTTTGAACCTGTATAAACGTTGTTTCAGCTTATGACAATCAGATTTCGCCTGAGGCTGTTCGAAATAGCCATGCAAACATGATGAAACTGACGGCTCAGTATCCGGGTAGTGAAAGTGTCAAATCATCTGACAGGCATAGTCAACAGACAAGAAGCAGAGAATCTTTTGATGAGTTTAGCTCGTACTACTTTAGACAAAGTGTCCCTCAAGCTCTTTTTTTCTTGTGTTGTCTATAGAAATGACCAACAAGTTTCAAGAACGTGACAATATGCTACGTGAATCGTCAATTGCCGAAGATTATTGGAAACAGATTATTGAATCGATCAAGGAAGATGAACGAAATGAACAACGTGAAGATACGTGAAAGAAGATGATTTGTTTGATCAAAGAGGAAGAAGAGAAGAAAGAACACGAAAAGCTAACAAATACCAACAACGATATTACCAGTGAAACTGTGAAAAATACAATGAACGACAAGAGGGCTCGTCATGCAAAAGACACTGCAGGCGCAACAGCTGCTGATTCTGCAAAGTTTGAATAATAAAAAATCGAATAGAATGTCTAGAAGGAGTTGTCTTCGTGTTTCATCCAGTGTGTAGTTGTTTTGTTATTTGATCGTAGCTTCAAAGTAGATTTGCTAATCCTGAAGTAAATTACATTAGAACTTTAGATTAAAACATTAAATTTACTTTCTTAACAACAATATGAGTGATTCTGATAAAAATAGTACCGTTTTTGTGAAAAAATTTGATCCAAACAAAAGGTAAAGATCTAGGTTTTTTGTTATCATATATCGATAGTGTGTACCTAGGAGTAACACAAAACACGAGTAAGCAAACTACCACTACCTTTTTTTCCAGATTTAGAAAACATTTTTCTATTATTGGCGCCAAAACACCGCCCACCTGGTTGCTTTTGGAATACCTTTTGATAGAAAAGAGCTAGAGAGCTTCAGTTTTCGCCATTCGAAAGAGGAGACTTGGAGGCATGTTTCCATAACCATAATTAGATGACGTTAGAGCCAATAATTGGAATAAGTAATATTTTAGAAAAGCAGCCATAACTGATTGACTAAATATTCTTTATTGAATAATAAACTCAACGTATCGGTCTCTTCTTAGAGCCATTATCAAGAGCAAATTACAACTAAAATTTTTTTTTAAACGTACAACTGTATCACTGTATCAGTATATATAAAACTTTNAAATTTTTTTGCATTTTTGCAGACAAAAGAATGCAAAAAAGTTTTAGTTGTAATTTGCTCTTGATAATGGCTCTAAGAAGAGACCGAAACGTTGAGTTTATTATTCAATAAAGAATATATAGTCAATCAATTATGGCTGCTTTTCTAAAATATTACTTATTTCATAACAATATCCCGTTCAGTTTCATAATGTATTCTGTTCAGAGTAGATTAAATCAGATCTTTTAGTTATTGAGAAAAAATGGTTTTACAGAAGAGATCGGATGGTTGATGGTTTCACTTATAAATGGCTCGTAATTTTAGTGCTCCTGAACATTTCTGACGTCATATTTGTGTTCGCCAGAGACAGTTCTATCTGACCATGTCTTTAGAATATGAAAACATGGGGTGGCAGACATAGCTACTTATCCGCCGATGTCCTTTCGGCGATTGTTCGAATTATAGTAGATCTTTTAACGAAGCTCAACTCATTGGATAAAGTTTAACAATGTTCGGATATTCTTGTACCCAGTCTGCTTATGTTTTCAGTACACGATAAAGATAACGATATGATTTGATCTTGAACTAATGGCAGAATATTCACACCAAATTCATATTCACCTGGTGGAGGATATTTCAGTTGTAAAGGAATACGAGCGCCAAACAATATTCGTGTAAAGCAGTGGTTTAAATGATAAAACGCTCTATAAAGTTCATAAACATCACCAACGTACTCGTAAATATCTAACAATAACTCGTCACTTAATTCCACAAGTGATGAGACCGTAGATGTATTTTGAGATATAGTGAAGCACCTTTTCGCTGCGAACAATAATTAGACGTTTAGTCTTATTTTAGTCTTATTAGACGTTTAGTCTTATTAGACGTTTAGTCTTATTAGACGTTTAGTCTTATTAGACGTTTAGTCTTATTAGACGTTTAGTCTTATTAGACGTTTAGTCTTATTAGACGTTTAGTCT